CGACCACAGGACCGCCGGAGGACACTGCAACCGTCATAAATACATGCTGGTTGCCAAACCACCCAAATTTTAATCACGTGACCGTGGGGGATGCTGCTATGGTTGTTAAGTTTGAATCCTAGGCCGTTAGTCCCTTTTTTCAATGCTGCTGTAACTTCCAACGGTCACTAAATGAATGGTCGTAAGTCGAGGACTACCTGTAAGTAGTACCGTGTTTTCCCAAATATAAGACCCAGCCTTTTTTTTTTGCCTCCAAAAAAAGCACCAGGTCTTATTTTCGGAGTAGGCCTTACCTCACCTCTGGCACTGACAGCCTCACCCAGCCGGTCCACTTCTTCTGGGGCCGAAGTTCTGCAGCTGCATTCGGGCCTGGATTTTGCAGTCAGGCCTTTCCAGAAGGCCTAAACAGCCGAGTACCGAGCTATGGATTCAATCTCGGTGCTCGGCTGCTGTGGTCTTCCAGAATCGAGCTGCGGATTGAATCCATAGTGGGTTCTTGGCTGCACAGGCCTTCCGGAAAGCCCTGTGACTGAGAAAGTCAGGCCTGGCTACAGAAGAGGCCTCAGAGGAAGAAGTGGGCCAGCCAGGAGAGGCCTGGCTGCAAGGGAAGTGGGTGCATTGCAGGTGGGGCAGCTCCACTCCCCCACACCCCAGCTTGATTTTTAGGTGTGTGCCTCGCCCCAAAAACTAAGCCTTATTTTTGGGATAGGGCTTATATTAGGCCCACCCCTAAATATCAAGCTAGGGCTTATTGTTGGTGTAGGCCTTACTTTTGGGGACACACGGTAGGAGTCCAAGAAGGCTTGGAGGTACCAAGGTAAATTGCCAGTGTTGGAGGGGACGATCAAGTGGTGTTGAGCTCCCACGCATAAAGTACCCCTTTAATTTTTTAAAATACAAAATCACTCTAAATTTCACCTTGCTGTCAAATGTCAAAGGATGCCAGTGTTTTGCATCCCCCACAAACTCAGAAACCCAGCTCTTATGCTAAATCTCACCCTAGTTCAAGCCTTCTTGCAGGTCCATTCCAATCCCAAAGCCTATCAGGGTCTTGAATGCTCTGGGGTCATTGAAAGAGAGAGGTTTAAAATCTTGTCATATCATTTGGGAGGGTCTGCCAAGTACTGTCTAGGGCAGGGGTCTTCAAACTTGGCCCTTTGATGACTTGTGGACTTCAACTCCCAGAATTCCTCAGCCAGGCACGCCTGGCTGAGGAATTCTGGGAGTTGAAGTCCACAAGTCATCAAAGGGCCAAGTTTGAAGACCCCCAGTCTATAGCAAGGGGGTCCCCAAGCCTTTTCTTTCATTACCCCGAAACGCTTTACCAGAAAATCTTATCAAACTTCAAAGACCAGTGCCTTAGCAGGGGGTTGGACTAGATGACCTCCAAGGTCCCTTCCAACTTTT